ACAGCCAGACAGTCAAAACAAAGTGCCCGAATGCGTCGTAGCACTGGCCTTAGGACACAGCCTTGTCAACGTCAAAGCTGGAGAACACCAGCTTGAACACTCAGACCGGGCTGGTGGCTGGCTCACTCATACACTTATCTGGGGACACTTGGCATTGTTGGAATAGCCTTCTTGGCTATTTCCATGGCCCTGTCCCAATAGCAAATGCTGGAGGGCAGGCAGAAGGATTCACTATTCTTTGCATGGAGATCCTGTGCCCACTCAGCATGGGCTCCTCAGAAGAATCTATTCCACTTTTAGACCTGCAGGTCCCAGGGTGCTGCCCACTGGAGCTGCCCACTCCAGCCATGTATAGCAAAGGCAGGTCTTGGCACATGTCGCATCGCATCCACCCTCACAGACCTCTGATTCTGGATGGGATTACTGCCACCTGCTCCAACCATCACTTTCCCCCAGCACACACGATTCATCCGGGCCCAGGCTCTCCATCCAGCCACCCCATCTCTGGCTTCCCTGTGCAGCCCTTTTTACACCCTCATCTGCTCCAATGTCTCCACCAAACTCATTACAACCTCCAACAGAACCGCCCATCTCAACACCCTGCCAAGCAGTTGCATGGGTGGCCAGCTGTGAAACAGCTCCACTCACCAATCTTCTTCTTCAGGGTCTCTGCAAGAAGAAAGGAGGAATGAAAGAGTACCATTCTTAGCACCCCATCCTCCACAAAGACTTGGGAAAAAGCGTGGGAAGCCTTTGACAATGCACACCGAAACTACACCAACATTTCATTATGCTGGTAATTCCTCATGCACAGAGGCATTGCAGCACCGTCCTTCCTGTACATACCTTTCTCTGCATCTTCCTCTGCTCTTCTTTGTGCTAGCAGTTCCTCTGAAAAAGAATATCACTCTTATCTACTCCAAAGTCTCCACCAAACTCATTACAACCTCCAACAGAACCGCCCATCCCAACAGCCTGCCGAGCAGTTGCATGGGTGGCCGGCAGTGAGACAGCTCCACTCACCAATCTTCTTCAGGGTCTCTGCAAGAAGAAAGGAGGAAAGGAAGGAAATGTTGTTATGGAGCTCCCCATTCTCCATAAAGACTTGGGAAAAAGTACGGGAATCCTTTGACAAAGCACACTCACAATGAATGTGTAGACCTGCATTATTCAAGAGAACCCTCATGCACAGTGCCATTGGGGCACTACCCTGCATGCACTCACCTTTCTGTGCATCCTCCCCTGCTCTTTCTTGTGCATGGAGCTTCTCTGAAAAAGGGACATGGATATTGGTGAGAGCAATCAGGACACCTTTCCTCGCAAACTATTCCCCTGTAACTTTCAGGAAAGGAATGGGATGCCTTCAGCATGGCACACTCATCCTCCACTAACCCCTCACTTAGTCAGGCCTTTCCCATGCACAGTGGTTTTGAGGAGCACCCACATCACATTTTAATTGTCCCTTCTTTCCCGTGCAGACCAAGACTTAAACCTCACAGTCTCCTATTTGCTCTGTCACTGTACCTTGGGCTGCTTGCTCTCAATGTCCAATACTTAAAATCTTGACACAGGAGAAATGTCACTAAGAAAATGGTCCAGTCAATATTTGAGTTCAAATATCATAAGAACATCCTCCCATCTTGTCATGGTTTTGTTTTTTTTTATTTGATTTTCAATATTCCACATCAAAACATCATGTACTGGAATTAAAGTGTTAATGCTCTAATTCTATGTACCTATCCCTATACATTACGGAAGTCATGGGATCTGACCCTTCCGGGGGGGGGCGGTCTCTTACTGCCTGGCAGTGGGTGCTGGAGGGTGCTTTCCTAGCCGTTCCAAGCTTTTTCCAGGTTTGACTCGGTCTCGGGAACTCTCTCTCATATCTTATTTGATTTATTAGTCTCAATTTCAATTAGATTGTATTATATTGTATTATTTTGCATTCCGATATCATAGTTAGTAAAATAAGTTTACCTCCATAGATTGTTGCCGCTGTTTTTTTCCTTTTCCCCCTTCCTTCCCATTTTGTGGGCCCAGGCGGGGGGTGGGGAGGGCAGGGTCCTACTGCCCCCCTGTCACGGGCATAAACTGATCTAGTTAATTCCGTGACACATCTGCACCAAATGCACAGTAGGTCACAGAAGAGCGCTGAGGCCACAAAGAGACCTTTGCACATTCACCATTCTAATATGGAACTCACTCCATGACCATTCTTCATTATAACACCATCAACACACACACTGATTTTTCTCTGCGTGCTAAAATGACAATTTATGAAAAATAGCACCTCAGTGGTTCCTTACTTCTCAGGGAATGGTGTTCTACTTCCCTCGAGTTTTCTCCATAGTTGTTCCACCTCATCAGTTAGATCTGCATTTATTAGTGTGTATTCTGGTCAGTTTGTAAACTGTGGTATACTGCCACAAATTCCTACAGACCGTGACAAATGCATTCTGTGGCAGGAGAACAGCCTTGCCTCAGAGATGAGGACAGCCATTCTGTGCTCACACTTCGGTCCACCAAATAAACATATGTCCTACACACTCATTGTAAACCAAGCAACTCACTCTACTGCACTCTTCCTTCTTTGGTTTATGATATCTGACACTCATAAGGACCTTTCCTACCAAAGGACTGGACATTTTCTAGAAGAAGGAAAAGTGTGTGTGCAGCTGTATACCTGCCTTCCTCATAACACTTTGGAACTCCCTCCCTCAATGAGGTCTTTTGGGACAGTGGTTAGAAGGGAAATAGCAAAAGCTTTTTTCAGAGTTCTCTCTCAGCGTCATGGTTGCATTGTTATTCTAGATCTCTTCTCAGAAAGGTCCATCTTAAAAGCATACTCCTTAAAAATTTGATATGTATCAATCCTGCAATTTGCCAGAAAGTGAAATATATATCTCAACTAAGTGCTATGAAGTTCTCCCACACCTAAATGTGAAATACACATCTGTACTTAAAAGACAAAAATAAAAATAAAAATAAAATAAAAAATCAAGAAAACTCACTTGTGTCAATGAATGGATGGCAGAGGATAATTTTGAAAATCTGTAGTTAAATGCTAAAAATGGAACTACATTATTACCATCATGACAGAGCCTAAAATCATGGAATACTATTCCCAAAAGAAGTCAGATTTGCATTCATTTTCTCACATTTATACAAAAGGATGCAGATCTTGCTTCACATAAAATGCCCCAGAGGCTTTCTTATTGTTCTTCAGCGTCATTGGCATTCTCAGTATGCAGAAGCCATATTGTCTCTTCTGCTGCACACAGAAGACTATTTTTATTTTTTATATAGGTAATATTAAGCATGCCCAACTATTTAATTTCAATTTCAATTAAAATATTTGCACATGAAAATTGATTTTGGTGAATTCTATACACTGGGGAGGAAAAATGAGTGTGAAAACACACCCAATTCATAACATATTTACAGACAGATACCCAGTTAATAAAAAAGTCTTTCCGTAGTTCATTACTAAGCCAGAAAAGAATAAATTAGTAGTAATGATATGAAAAGGAAAGATGAGACAATGAAAAAGGTATTTCATTTGAGAAAACCAACTTCAGAATGTCTGGGTGCTAGAAACACAAATGTCTGGAAAGGCAAAGGGCAATACTGTTCTGTGAAGATGAGGGAAGACGTTAATTTTGGAAGATGGAAAGCTTTGAGGTACATTTGGAAGGCTGAAGCCACTCTTGAGTGAATTTGTTAACAAAAAGATTCTCTTGAAGGAATCCAGAGCTGTGAGTTTCTTGGAAAGAATGAGTTATCTCCAACATAGGATGTCTATGCCACTTGGGAGGACAATAAAAGGCTGGAAATTCTGGGTGAGAAGGCTATCGGAAGTTCTCTGCTATGAATTGTAAATTGGGGGCTTTGGCATGGTGGAATAGCTTACCTACTGCAGTAATGAAGCAAAAGAGATAAAGAATCCAGAGCCAGTCATGGTTTTCTGAAAAAGGGAGAAAAAGCAATTTTTTAAAAAAATGACAAATAATTTCTTGCAATATAATACAGGTGTAGAGTGGCAGTGGAAGTCATATAATCTGTGCCATTTGGACATGGTTGACAGAAGAACATTTTTCAAAATAATTACTCATCTGGGAGAGTGATGAGGACCACAAAATATTTTAAAGAAAGCTTAGACATAGTACTGAAGTTTTTGTATGATAACACTTCTTAAACACCCTGGAGATAAACGAGGAAGGAAATATCTGGGAATGTTTAAATTAATGTTGATTTTGGAATTATGCCCCCACTATTATTCAAGAGCCTGCTTATTTAGCAGACAATTTCTGAATCAAGTAATATTGCTTCAAGTGATATAATAAAATTGTTCTCACTGAAGTTGAATTTCAAAGCTATGACTGAGTAGAATTTACAGAAGATGACCTGAGCGGTCCTTTCCAATATTAATGATTTCATGATTCTATGATTCTGAGGGAGCTCAGCCCTAACCTTGCTGCTCAATATAATCTTTCAGTCAGAATAATTCTTAAAAAGCTTAATACAAAAGATCTGTCAGCATTGAAAAGCAGATATTCACAGTGGGAAACAGGATAGATGCACTTAGCTGAGAAGCCGCAGTCTTCCTGGCCTTCCTGGCATCCCTAGATGCTCTTCCCTTTTCAAACAGAAGTTTGGTAGAAGTTTGGTTTGCGATACCATAGCTATGGAGCCACTGTTTTTCTCAGATTATTGAGCAATAGTTGTCTGAATTGGGTCAACTGTTGAATGTTGTTGGAAATAGGGTGAAATAATTCACAGCATTAGGCCCATCCTTCTTATTAGAGCAGGATAACATGAAAAGAGGGCACCTTTCTCCAAGAGAAAAGATCTAAGTACAAGAAATAAAATTTAATTGCTGCATACCTGACCGTTGCGCAATACGTAGATAGGATTCCCTATTAGTTGTCAAGTCAGAAGGTGGTGGATGTCCACAGTGTATCTCATCAGAGCTTTCTAGTGCAAAAATATTGTACTTCTCCTCTAGAATGCTTGTCTTGATTAATGAAGATAGTTGTTCTCTTTGAGAAACATCCGAAATAGCCTTGGGATTTACACAGGCACCTCTCATTTGGCTCTCATACATACAAGTACGTACAGTGCTTGGCTTTTGCATAACTATTTCATTCAAGGAACCTGTAACAGAGGCAACTGATCACCCTTGCATTGGCATAACACAGAAATAACAAGTACAACATGAAAGAGATTTCACAGAGCACCCACAGCTTTGTTGCTGCTTCATCTGCCATCAAACACATCTGGCTTTTGAGCATTTAATTTTAAAAATTTCAGAAGCAACAGGAAGAACTTCCATTTTTTCACTTGCAAGTGTGTAACTTCCTGCCTGAACCAAGACAGATTTTCACAAAAAGCTTTTCAGTGAATTCAGCACAGATGGTAGAAATTAGTGGCTAGACATTAGGAAAGCAGTATTTGTCACTGCTCTCCATGACTGAGGTGGCATTTACAGTAAAAAATGAAGACTCCTTTGGAATCACACTATCTTTTCCAGTTTCCTGTGTGCAGGAACCCTGCACTCACAAAACAATGCACATTATTAAAAATGAGTGAAATCTGTGAAACCCTTAATTTGTGGGTGGCATCCCTGCCCACATCAGAGCTGTTAGGAATACAAAGTCTTTAAGGTCCCTTCCAACCCAAACAATTGTACAAACCTACCAGTTCGGTTTATCTTTTCTTTGATCAGCGTGATGACACATTTCACATCTACATCATCACAAGGAACTGCCATGATGCTCTGTACTACAAAAAGGTCTGTCTCACTCCAGGTGACACTGGTCTTGATCTCCACATTTTTTTTGCCTCCTCCATAAGTTGTCCAAATGACTTGAGGCTTTGGGTACCATCCTTTTGAGTTACATGTGTAGCGACACAAGCTCTCATCTTGCTGATGCTTTAACAAAGCTGGCTTGTTCCCTATTGCTGTAAAAGAATTATTGCAAGGAGGGTCAGAAAAAACACTTTGTATAACTCCTAAGTAAGTTCTATAAAAACAAACAGAAAAAAAAAAAAAAAAAAAAAAAAAAAAAAAAAAAAAAAACCACAACAAACAAATCAATTTGAAAGTGTCAATACACTGTTCTAAGTATCCATGGCACATAGAAACTACCATACATGGCTGGACAAAAGGGTTGCTTACTTTGAATCTTACAAGAAAAAGCAGCATAGTGTTGGAATGGTGAAAAGTCAGGAAGAACTATATGGGAATTTGAGAAAACAGGTGAGAGACTCCATATTACTGAGAGGGGATGTAATACAGACTGATTAAAAAGGTACAGTGGGGAGAGAAAGAATAATAAGGAATTGTTCTGTCTTGTCCAGTAACAAGATAGCATATGGCAAGTTCATAAATAAAATAAAAGTAAATGAATGAATGAATGAATAAATAGGAAGGAAGGAAGGAAGGAAGGAAGGAAGGAAGGAAAGAAGGAAGGAAGGAAGGAAGGGAGGGAGGGAGGGAGGGAGGGAGGGAAGGAGGGAAGGAGGAAAAGGAGCAGAAAGGAAAAAGGAAATACCTTCACGCATTCTACAAATATGTGGAATACACTAGTGAAAGATTTGTGGATGCTAGAATGCTAGAAGTTTACATGCAGTCTAAACTAAGCTCCAATGTGACTTGCCCAACAGGAGGTTGACCCAATAAAATGTTTTCTGGAAAGTATTTCCAGGTTTGCAATTGGGATAGGTCTTCTATGATGGAGTATTTCTCATGAAGAGGGAAAAGGAGCCTTTGGCAGATGAATATGTTCACTGCATATTGGTAAGTACCCTTTCTAATACCCTTTCTAATAGCTCTGATTAATTGTTTTTCAGTTTACGAAGTCAAACTGCCCCAAGTGCAGAGGTTGAACATTCATAATCCCAGAGCACAAAAACCTATCAGTACTGATACAGGAATACTCAGCATCATAATGCTGCTCCCCATTGCACTGTTTTCCCACATGACAAGCCACAACAACTTGCCCCTTCTGTACCCAGACCTTAGACAGTCAGACCTGAAGCAACATTTTCCAGCATGTCTTGCCTTAATTCACTGAAGATCTCAACTGCTGAGCAAGGTATAGGCAGAGCAAAAGAGTCCTGATGGGAAATGAACTAAGCACAGTCATAGCAATCTTCCTGCTTACCTATAACATCAAGGTGAGTGACAGCATCCTGGGAGACAGCGTCGCCACTCACAACACAAACGTACACCCCCCTGTCAGCTATTTGCACTTTTTGGATAGTCAGGAGAAATCTTCTTCTCTCCCAGCGCCCCTTAATCCTGCACTGTTCTTTATCCTGGCACTGCTCCACCTCCCCATTCAGGCTGGAGGAAGAGCAGAGAGGAGCATCTCTTCCCTTTTCCCCTTTGTACCAAAGCACACTTGCATTGGAAGGGATTCTGGGCGTCAGCTGGCAAGACAGAGTTACTTCCTCACCAACAAGGGCAACTGAAGGATCAACGGTGATGGTGATAGAAACTTCACCTGCAAGGAAAAAGTGGGAGCACTGATTCTCTCTGAAAATATAACTATTCTACAGATGGAAAAATGAGACAAAAAGTCTCGGCATTAGGTTAATCCAAAACAAAACTGTGCTTTCTAGGCTCTAATTCTTCAGTCCCATTCAATGATAAGGAGAGTCTTGAGTCAATGTTAGCAACTCCTTAAGCCACATAGACATTAGAATTTCCACCTTTCCAGGTTTTATTTATGTCAGTCATGTTAGATACTCCTGAGAACAGAGGCATTTGGGACAGGAATTTTTTTCAGGCAGACAATAGGTAACATTACTGGGAGGATTACAATTGAAAGCTCAGTGACCAGCGAGCAAATTACCAACACGAGGTGCAAAGATCTGTGCAACAATCTTCACATCCTGAAAGCAAACTGTACAGGTTTTTGTTCTTCACTCAGTCTGGCTATGCGAGAGACTGACTATGCATTTTCCATGTTTGTGATAAGACAACACACCTGCTTCTACTCCCTGAGAACCCAGAGTGGGACTGAAGTGTCTCCCATCATTTGGCATGGCCAGTGTTGTCCCAAGCCCCGGTCTAGACTGTGTCAGACAGGACCTACTGTAGATTTATTTCATCAGAAAATGGAAATATGATCTGAAGTGCAGGTGTGATATCTCAGGATAACCGATGCTGAACTGTACACTAAGATGTTGAGTCAAAGTAAAGAGCAGAACTTTGGTTTGGTATTGGAGGTTGCTCTAGGCCATTTCCTGGTGGATGCATCAGCAGTCTGTGTGTTTGCAAGCAAACAGGGGATGGAACAGTAGCAGTCATTATCTTGATCTTTCCTTATCCCTTGAAAGAGTCATTTGGAGACCTACCTCAGAAACTTCATCACAGCAAGTTTCAATGTGTTTCAAATCAATGGTTTAAATTCTAGCCAATTCCTGACCAGAAAGAGACAGGCATGGATTTAAAATAAATAACGTAAAGGTGACACAGAGATGAAGGCAATCTCCTTTTGGAAGCATATGCCTACAACCAAGATTTCGGTTATTGTCTCTAATCCTACCCCTAAGCCCCAAAGGGATTTTCTTCATGGACAAGAATCCTCTAGTGATCAGCAACTAAGGTAGTCCACAGAAGAGATATTTAGTGACACTGTCTCCTATATGCTAATGCAGGAAAATAGAAGGCGTTTTTTTTTGGTTTTTGTTTGTTTGTTTGTTTGTTTGTTTGTTTGTTTTTTGAGTGAGAGAAAAACAGAGAAACTGGCACTAGAAACAGTTCCAGCCTACTCCATGGATTCAGCTTTCTTCGCTTCACTGCATGCTACTGATTTTACATATCGTACTTATTTATATTCTACAGCTAAATTGAATCACTGGATAGAATACATTTTGTCTTACCTGTAAACCACATTGCAATAAGAAAACATGTTGGAAGAATCAAGAACAGGACTTGTCTGACATTTCTTGGGCAAACTCTCAAAAAAACTTCCAAAAATGTCATGTTGGGCAAGTTGTTTATAATCCTCCCGGAAATGGTTGACCTGATCTGAGAAAAAATAAGAATTTCTGAGAGGAACAAAACGTAAGCAAATGGATCCTCCTAAAACAGAAGCACTTTCCTTAGCAAGGCATTCAGGTCTTCATTGCTCTTTAGTATGTAGAGTGGAAATATTCGGTACACCTTCTGATGATATTCATCCAAAGTGCAAAATGTGTGGTTTGAACAGAGAACTTGAATAAAGAAAATGCCTTAAGACTCATTTGGGCCTTTCCCACCTCCTCAGTTCCACCATTTTCCAACAGACAATAAAGAAGAAATACACAAGAAAGAAACATATGCAGGATGGAAAAGAAGATTTAAATTCTGATGACATATTGTTGTATTCTCCTTCTTGGCCTACAAATGACAAAGCATTTAGGCCACCTAAAAATGACTTTTCCTTTGTCAAGGATGAACTTCACAACCACAGAACTGCTCTACAGAACAACTACACCTCCTGAGGCCAAAGTTTGGCAATTTCAAACAGGAAATACCTTTTTGCTTCAAAACAGTGCACACAAAACATACAGCCCTTAGAATACATGGAGTTTTTCCCTCACGGTAGCTGCTGATGATTTTAGTTTGGGATAAACTACAGACTCACTGTTCTGTCTCTGCTGAAGGGATTCTTGCAGCTCTGGTCTATCCTAGGAGGAAATCCACGAGTGAGATGTGCAGCACAGACTCTCAGTACCCTCTGTCTGGCTGCATACTGTAATCCCTGGGGTTCTTTTTGGCACTAAGAATTGGGTTGGTCACATGGTGCTCTCAGTTTTGTCATTGTCACTGTCTTAAGTGCAATAAGAAGCCTTAACAACCCTGAGCACCCTCATCTCCAACCATGCTTTTGGAAAATTCAGGCTTGTGCCATGGACTGCAGCCCTGTTCCAAGCTCTCCCTTCTTGACAGACCTTGGACCTGTGCTGTAGGTAGCTTGAGTCCTGGGCAGACCTTGAACCCAGATTGAAGCTCACTGCCAGCTCTGTTCTTACACTGCCAGGCTCTCATGCTATGCATGGGCTGCAGTGCATCACCTGTTTGTGTTGGCTTCATTTAGAAAGCTGTGCTGTGCTTCATGCTTCCTCACCTACCTTGATTCTGCAGTGGTGGGTCACGTTCTGGTGCAAGATTCTTAGAGCAAGGTGCCAGTGGTGAATTACCACCATCCACTCCTTTCTTATAGCTCCTCTCATAGTCTCACTAAGCTCGTCACCCCGTCTCCCAGCATGCCCCACTCCCTATATCTCTGGTTATGTTATCTTTCACCTGCAATCTGTCTTTACTGCAATGAGTTTGTACTCTTGTCCGCTTTCAATAGAAGTATGAGTGAATTGCTAAAGGGTAGTAAAAGTACGTTAGGGCAATAAAGTTGAGTGTTATAAGGAAGTACCAGAGGTATACACCATTACTCATAAGAGTACAGACTTCAACTTAAATGCACAGAGGAGAAAAAGAGACAATGCAAATATCCACAACACCATTTAAGATGCTAATCAACCAAAAAGCATGTCAGAATAATGCATTCCCAATGAATTCTTTCACGTTGTTTCACCAAGCACCAAAACTGTACACAGCTGCATGCTAAAAATGATTAACTGTATACAGACAAGTACACTGATCCACATTCCAAGTTTGCACTTACAAATTCTTTGCAAAGTTTACATGTATTTCCAGAGTAGCTGTTCAATGAAATAAAACTGCATTAGAAGTCTCACGACAACACTTGATTAACTTATATAAATATTCTGAGGCTTAGTTATCAGATACTTACTCTTTCATTTTGTTAAGATGTCCTCTACTTTATTCATTATCAGTACTGCACTCCCAACACGTCTGTTGTGAAGTAGTAAATAGAATATACCTAGCCAAAACAGTAGCTAAGTTATATCATCTTGCTGTATTCATTATGTGTCTTTTCTAGCATTAAAAAGTCTCATGCTCTTACCTATCAGCGACCCTCTGGCTCAGTTGTTAAAAAAAAAAAATACCAGGAAGAAAGAAAATGTTTCAAGTCACAGGCTGAAGTAGGTGGAGCAATTCCATGCAAATAAGAAAACGATAAAGAAATGCCTCTGACAAAACAAAATCAAGATGGCTGCAATGTGACAGATAATAAAAATTAAAAAAAAAAAAAATCAAATTAAATTAAAACAAACAAACAAATAAACAAGATTTTCTTTCTGTGCATTGTGTGCTTTTGGCAAGAATCTAGTAGCCAATGGGACTCAGGTGTGAGCTCATGGTAGCTGATACGGTTCTGCGTTTTGGATTTATGATGTGAATAACGGTGATATAACACCAATGTTTTTGTTGCTGCAGAGCAGTGCAGGGTCACAGACATTTCAACTTCTCTCACTGTCCTGCAGCAATGAGCTGGGGAAGCACAAGGTGCTGGGAGGGTAGAAAATGGGAACAGTTGAGCTAAATTGGCCAAAGGGATATTTCACACCATATAACATCTTGGTGATCAAAAACACTGGGGGGTGTTGGCTGGGTGGTTGGAGCTGCTCAGAGACCGGCTGGCCGTTGTTCACAAGGTGGTGAGCAATTGCTCTGTGCATCACCTTTTTTGTAGAGGAAAGTTGGCTGGTATTTTGTGTTTTTCTTCTCTTCTCAATTGTTTTGTAAATGTACATACATTTACTATGATTTTCCCTTTCTTTTCTATCTTAGTAAATTGTCCATGTTTCAATGCAAGAGTTTTACCTTTTTGTTCTGATTCGTTCCCATCTCACATGGAGACAGTGAGCATTTTATAATTCCATTTTGAGTTCCTTCAGGACTTGCCTGTGACACCACGTAATTCTGGTTACTTATTAATGTCTTGTTTCTCCCAGTCCATTCCCAGTTGATGTAATTTTTTTCTATCATTTTCAGTATTGTTTGCAAGGCTGTCTTAAAATTGTTGCTTTGGGGAACTTCTTTATACGTGTACGAGCTTTATGGACTTTGCTTCTGATTTTTGGTTTCTTTTATGCTGTTTCTATGATATACTCTAAATTTTCCAGGGACTTTTTTTAGACATATTTCATTTCTCTTTGAATTGTGATGCACATTTTACTAAGGTTTCCAAAGTAATGCATTTCTAAGAGTTTCAAGGCAGCTTGTGGGTTCCTTCCTTTCTGCTCTGTAGCTTTAGGGACTTCTTCATCTTTTTTGTTTGTTTGTTTGTTTTTGTTTTTTTGTTTTTTTTTTTGTTTTTTTTAAGGTCATATAGCCCATTTTAACAGAGTTCTCTTCCTTCACGTTGATTATCTGTGTGCTGAACTTACCCAATCTGTTTTGTCAACTGCAGTGTTAAATATGATTGCTGTCTGGTCACAGCTTTGGAGTAGCTCACCAGGCTGCACTTCTCCAATGAGGTTCTGTTCACCAGACATCTGCAATATCATCGTTTTTGTGTTTGCTTGTTTGCTTGTTTGTTTGTTTTGTGATCTCTTACCATATCCATTGACTCTACCAACTCCAGTGATAAACATCTCATTTGTATAGTGATATTCCACCAGACGGGATTTACATTTGAACTGCCCTTGCGGATGAATTGCTGTTTCTCCCATTTCAGCATCAACAGGTCTTAAGAATTCATCTCATATATAGTTTCAAGATTTTCCATCTCTCAGAACTAATTCCTTCATACGAAGAGCAAGACCATCCAGTTCATAGAATCATAGAATCATAGAATATGCTGGGTTGAAAAGCACCATGATAATCATCGAGTTTAACCCATCTGCTATGTGCAGTGTAGCCAACCACCAGACCAGACCTGAGCCACATCCAGCCTGGCTTTGAATGCCTCCAGGGATGGGGCATCCACAACCTCCTAGAGCGACCTGTTCCAGTGCGTCACCACCTCAGTGTGAAAAACTTCCTCTTAATATCTAACCTGAAACCTCCACTGTGTTAGTTTAAAACCATTCCCCCTTGTCCTATCACTATCCACCCTCGTAAACAGCCGTTCCCCCTCCTGTTTATATGCTCCCTTCAAGTACTGGAAGGCCACAATGAGGTCTCCTCGGAGCCTTCTCTTCTCCAAGCTAAACCAGCCCAGTTCCCTCAACCTTTTTTCATAGGAGAGGTGCTCCAGCCCTCTGATCAACTTAATGCCCTCCTCTGGACCTGCTCCAAGAGCTCCACGTCCTTCCTGTGCTGGGGGCCCCAGGCCTGGACGCAGTACTCCATCCAGATGGGGCCTCACAAGAGCCGAGTAGAGGGGGACAATCACCTCTCTCTCCCAGCTGGCCATCCCTTTTTTAATGCAATCCAGAATGCATTTGGCCTTCCAGGCTGCAAGCACACACTGCTGGCTCATGTCCAGCTTCTTATCCACCAGTACCCCAAGTCCTTATCCACAGGGCTGCTCTCTGGAAGATCTTCCCCCAGCTTGTCTAAATACCTGGGACTGTCCCGACCAGAATGCAGCATCCTGCACTTAACCTTACTGAACCTCATTAGGTTTTCATGGGCCCACTTCTCCAGCCTGTCCAGGTCCCTCTCAATGGCTTCCCTTCCTTCCAGTGTATCAATTGCACCTCTCAGCTTTGTGTCCTCTGCAAACTTGCTGAGGGTGCACTCAATGCCATCATCTGTGTCATTGACGAAGATGTTGAAGAGCACCAGTCCCAAGACCGACCCCTGAGGGAAACTGCTTATGACCAGCCTGCACCCTGACACAGAACCACTGATCACAACACTTTGGCTGCATCCAGCCAGCCAATTCCTAATCCATCGAACAGTCCATCCTTAAAATCCACACCTCTCCAATTTAGAGAGAAGGATGTGGTGAGGGACCATGTCAAAGGCCTTGCAGAAGTCCAGATAGATGACATCCACCACCCTTCCCCTGTCCACCGAAGTCATCACTCTATCATAGAAGGCCATCAGATTGGTCAGGCAGGATCTGCCCTTGGTGAAGCCATGCTGGCTGTCTCAAATCACCTCTTTATCTTGTATGAGCCTTAATATAGCTTCTAGGAGGATCTCCTCCATGATCTTCCCAGGCACAGAGGTGATGCTCATCAGCCTGTAGTTTTCTGGGTCTTCCTTTCTCCTTTTCTTAAAAATGGGAGTAATGTTTCCCTTTTTCCATTCACCCAGGACTTCACCAGACAGCCATGGAGAGCAGCTTGGCAACCACATCACCCATGTCTTTCAGAACCCTAGGATGGACATCATCTGGCCCCATGGACTTAAACATGTTCAATTTCATGAGGAGGACTCAGATTTGTTCCACCATTACAGTGGTTCAGAAACCACTCACAACACCCTCATCTAGAGCCTTATGGTCCTTACAGACATGGGAAGCCTCACAGACACTGACTGAAGACTGAGGCAAAGCACTCATTGAGTACCTCAGCTTTTTCTATGTCTGAGGAAACCAACTCCCTGTTACCTTTCATCAGAGGGGGAACACTCTCCTCGGCCTGTCTCTTCCTGCCTATGGACCTGTAGAACCCCTTTTTGTTATCTTTCACATCCCTCACCAGATTCAGCTCCATCTGCGCCTTGGCTTTCCTAATCCTATCTCCACATGCACGGACAACAGCCCTGTATTCTTCCCAGGATACACAACCCTGCTTCCACTTTCTGTGCATTTCCCTCTTTTCTCTTAGTTTAAGCTGCAGGTCCTTGCACAGCCATGACAGATGCCTGCCTCCCCTGCTCGACTTCTTCTGCTGGGGGATGGAGAGCCATTGGGCTCTCAGAAGGGTGTCCTTAAAGAGCTGCCAGCTCTGTTCTGTGCCCATGCCCTTAAGGACAGTTTCCCAGGGGATCCCACTCAGCAGTTCCTTGAGCAGACAGAAGTTTGGTCTCCTAAAGCACAGGGTCCTAGCTCTGCTTTTTGCCAGGCCCACATTCCTCAAGATCACAAACTCCACTGAGGCATGGTCGCTACATCCAGGCTGCCTCCAACCTTAACCTTCCTAATGCTCTCCTCTGCAGTAGTGAGCACCAGGTCCAGTGAGGCTTCACCTTGGGTTGGTCCATCTACTACCTGGACCAGGAAGTTGTCCTCAACAGACTCCAGGAATCTCCTGGATTGTCTGCCACCTGCCACGCCGCTGTCCCAGCAGATATCTGAGTGGTTGAAATCCCCCATCAGGACAAGAACGCACGAGCATGACACCTCCTGCAGCTGAAGCAAGAAGGCCTCATCAACAGGCCCCCTGATCCGGTGGCCTGTAGCAGACCCCAACCACTACATGTCCTTTGCTGGACTGATCCTTAATTTTTACCTACAAGCTCTCGACCCGATCGTGGCTGTTCCTCAGACACAGCTCTTCGCAATCTATCCACTTCCTAACGTAGAGGGTGTTGCTGTGCAACATCGACCTCCGGCGAGGGGACAGTCGGACGGACCGAACGACCAGCGTTCCTATGCCGAAAGCCAATTTATTGCTGCGTAACAAGCACTTATATACCGTGACATGTGACCGCCCAGGAAACCCACGAACCCACCCAGGAAACCCATGAACCAATCCCTACTCCCCTTATACCACCCCTTGTTCCACCCTCAACCTCACCTATTACCCTCTGCCACCCTTCCTACCCTGTCTATCCCTTCTGAAAAGCCCGCAGTCCTCAATCAGGGTATTCCAATAATGAGATTCATCCCACCATGTTTCCGTGATAGCAATTAGGTCATACGTTTCCAATTGCGCCACGTTTTCTAACTCCTCCTGTTTATTTCCCATGCTGCGCACGTTGGTAAAGAGGCTTAGCTATTGGCCTCGTTGCCTTCTCAGAGGAGCCCTCCCTACTACCTCCAGGACAAGTCTGGGGTTTTCTCTTACTGCCTCCCAAGATGACAGCATTCCCATGCGCTTCTCTGTCACCTAGTACACCCTCTTCCCCCATCATATCTAGTTTAAAACCCTGCTAACCAGCCAGCCACCTTGTTCCCAAGAATATTTGTGGCCCTTCTAGTCAGTTGGCTCCCATCTGCTGTCAGCATTCCCCCTTTCTCAAGGCTGCATCCCAAGCCATTGTACCCAAAGCCCTGAGTACGACACCATTCGCAAAGCCATTCATTCAGCATGTCCACCCTCCTCCTTTTGTGTGGATCCCAGTCACTAACTGAGAGGACAGAGGTGAACACAATTTGCACTTCCAATCCCTTCAGATGCCTTCCCAGAGTCCTGAAGTCCCTTTTGATCACTCGAGAACTTCTTTTGCCTGCCTCTTCATTTCTGATGTGGAAAACCAATAATGGATAATAATCAGAGGGCTTAATGAGGTGAGTGATGTCCCTGGCGATCTCTCTCACCCAGGCACCAGGCAGGCAACACACCTCCCTCTGGGACGAATCCAAGTGGCATATCAGTCCCTTGGTTCCTCTCACAAGGGAGTCCCCTACAACAACAGCCTTCCTTTTTTTTCCTGACTGATGTTGTAGCAAAACAGGGAGCAGACTGACTAGCCTTGGGCTACCACTCCTGCATGGATGGGCTTTTACCAACAACCATATCCCCCAGTACCTCCAGCTCCAGAGCTTCATACCTGTTATGTAAGGGCACCTGGGAAGGTGGGAGGGGCTGAGGGGCAGTCAGCTTGCTGCCCTAAACAGAGACTTGTTTCCATCCCTCATCTTTGAGGTTGCCTCTTCCCACCTGACTGTGAGCAGGCAGATGATCCCCCATTGCTTGAGGAACATCTCCCCCACGCCCTTCCCATAGGGATGGCATAGTGTGACTCCACCAATCAATCCCTTTCCCACAATCCCAGATGCTGTTCAGCCTTTCTATTTCCTCCTTTAGCTCTACCACCAGGCTGAGCAGATCATTCACCTGCTCACACCGCACACCGGTGGTATCCCTTCTGCCCTGCTGTAGCAGTGACAGGGCCAGGCATTCTCTGCAGCCTGAGACCTGAACTGTGGCATGGATATTCATGCTTCCTGTCTGAGTCTCCACATTCCTTTTAGAAGCAGCTCCCCATTTTCCATCAGTCTGTGGACATTGGAACTAAGGTAGCTGCTCCTAAAGTAATGTCTTCTGTTTATTATGTTGACCCACAGTGCCAGAGGCAGATGTTGGTGGGATGTCAGTGGAGGCTGAACATTCCTGCCAATATTCCATTCAATTCTGTTGCCATGCGACAGATGGCAGCAGAGGGTCAGTCTGACAAAATGGAGTCTGACATGGAAGTGCTCGTGAAGTGAAGGTGTGTAATTCCTCCACGCAGAAAAAATTGCACTCTCTGACATTTATCAACACTTGATGAATGTTTAATGGAGACCAAATGGCGAATGTGAGCACAGGGAAGCAGTAGATGATGCATTTCAACAATGCCTCCATAGCAGCTGTGAAGCAGTGATCACCTCCACTGGTGCAGATTTGTATTATCACAGCATGAAAACTCTTGATCGTTGCTGGCAAAATGCAAAGCTAATGATGCTGACTATATTGAAAAATAGTGTTTTGTAGCTGAGAATTTGCTCTATCAAAGAGTGTTATTGTGTTCTTTGTAGCTGTTGTAGTTTCCACAGAAATAAATAGGAAGCATTACTGTCAGAGTGACTTACATAGATAATCTTTAAGATCCTTTCCGACCCAAGCCATTCTATGTTCAGCCATTTTCAGGAAAACAGCTCACACCATATTCATCAGTTGTTCCCATCCCTTAACTTTCATGCCTTTCATTTCCCAGTTGGACAATTTTTCAAGGCACTGGTCGCTTTGAGTAGTTGGGCCATGTTGTACCTGGATATGTACCATGACACTAACTCAATGTCCTGATTTTCTTTCAGTTATTCAATCGAATTTTATTTAGGAGAGTTTTAAACTGAGCAAAAGTATTAGGACTTAGAATTTTGTTTTGTTTTGTTTTGTTTTAATGTTGGCTTAGCCACAATTTCAATTGAAAGTGCAAATTAGGTCATTTAATTCTAGCTGTGGATACGTGAGTTCAAAATGCATTATGCTTCCACATTCAGTCAGTTGAATATAACTGTTGTTTACAAATGACTATATTTGAGTTTGTTAGACGAAAATGAATATACAATAAAAACCACAAATACTGAAATAAATATGTAGCATTTAGGTTTTTTGTGTTTATTTGTTTGTTTGCTCTTAATCCAGACAGAATAAAATACAATTGCAATGTCTGATATGTTTCAATTTTTACAAAATGAGCTCTTACAGCAAGATGACTCCCTCTGAAGTACTTCAGCCACTATTTCTTCCTTAACCATAGCTTTTAAAGATGAAAATACATTCTTTTCTTCCTCTACGTTTTTGCATTCTCTCTTATTCACCACATCGTTCATTTATTAATCTCTTTCTCACTCTATGAAAAAGAGTCATAGGTCTGTGGTTTTACAGGTCGTACCCCCAGCCACTCGCCACTTGAGTCTGGACTGAAGAATGGGTATTGTTTCCCAGTAAACTCAGAGAAGACAGACCCAATAGGGCTCATTTCTTCAACATTGTAGAATGAAAGCTCAGTGTTTTCCACATCCAGGAGAACACCCACCACACTGCACTGCTTGCAATCACTTACATCCTCCCCACCAGTTAGTATGTATTTTCCCTGAGAATACTGTAGACTGAATAAATCATTCACTGGGAGAGAATTCCCTGTGTTGTTCATTATCATATTCCTAATTTTCTCACTCACCACTCCCAGCTCCCACTGTGATTGGTTCCCCACCTCCACTTCCCAGTAATGTTTTTTGTCTGGAAAACCTTCAGTAGCTACCACGATCGCTTTGATGGCTGTCTCTGTCTTGTTTGAGGACTTTACCCTCCTGTTGTCATTACTAATGCAGAGGTTGGGGTGTTTGCATTTCTGATCCAGAGTGATATTAACTTGAAAAAGAAGAGAATTAAGTAAAAAGTAATTATTTCTGATTTTCAGGAAAATAAACAAAGATGTCAAAGGAAGAGAATACAGAAGACAAATAGTAAAATAATCAAATAAATAAGTAAATTTATACACCAGGAATGTACTGTAGTTTTCTGGGACAAAAACTCAATAGGAATAACAATCTGCAGTGGGACATGCCTTTTCTCTGGTTTTATTGTGGCTTAGTTAAACCATCTGCATCATATCAACTCATCAATTTGCTTTTTGAGTAGAACATAAAGCTGAATCTCTTGAAGCCACATAACATTTAAAAAGGTCTTAAATGGAATGAACAGAAATGATCCATTTCAACTCATGATTTTGAGAACAGTGTAAATGGGAGATGCCTACAAAAGACTGTGTGCCTGTTTCAACAAACAGGATTAATATTTTCCCCAAATTATTACATCCTGTGAATTTTTGTGGCACAAATAATAGATATTTGTATGTGCATGGAAGAACGTGAGGTTAATGGCAGGTGAGTCTTGGCTTACCTGCGTTGCTACGAGCTTTCCTGAACTCTGCAAGAAAAAATAAAAAAAAAGAAAAAAGAAGAATGGTTAATTTAAATTACTAGTAGTGTTAACATACCTGATTTTGGAGCTGTATATTGTTACAAAGAAGCACAGAATGGTTGAGGTTGGGACGGACC